AAGCAGAGCTGATGTTCCCAGACTGCCCAATAAATGTTACAGAACAGTCAAATACCCAAAAATATCCAGTACTATTAACCCCCTATGGCAAGAATGAAGTGAACTGAGGGGGCTGAGAGGCTAAATTACTTATTCCCCCTGCTCCCTGAGGAGCTAGAAGCAGAGCTGATGTTCCCAGACGGCTCACGTGAGCTCAGTCTGCTGATGAAGCCTGGCTCAGCCTTATCCTCTTTTATTTTAAAAGGGGCTCTCTAGACCCCAAGCAGGCCTCGGGACCCTCGGATAGAGTTCTGGGCCTGTGTGGACCCTCGGGTCAACCAAGGAAAAGGGCTGAGGGTGGCGAGGCCTCACCTGCCAAAAAAGGCCACCTTCATGTGCCGCCGGGCCAAGACCTCACTGATGCCCTTCACTTTGGACAGGTAGGCTTTGACCTCCAGCACCTGCTCCTCAGTGGTGACCGGATCAAGCTCGACATTTCTGTGAGTATCTGTGGGAACAAAATGAAGGCAGAGTCAGACATGCAGGAGAGGCACTGGGGCTAACGGAAAGACTCAGGAGTCACAGGAGCTGGGTTCAAATTCTGCCTCTGACTTTTATGAACTGTGAGTCTTTGGTCTTCTCAGCACTACAATGATCCATGACGATTCCAAAAGAGTCATGATGGAAAATGCTATCCGTATCCAGAGGAAGAACGATGGAGTCTGAATGCAGAGCAAAGCACACTATTTTCACTTTTGGGTTTTTTCCCGTGGTTTCCCCCTTTTGCTCTGTTTCTTCTTTCACAACATGACTAATGTGGAAATATGTTTAAGATGACTGCACATGTATATCCTATATCAGATTGCTTGCCATCTTGGGAAGGGGAGGGGAGGGAGAAAAACTTAGAACTCAAAATCATATAAAAAATGAATGTTGAAAACTATCTTTACATGTAACTGGAAAAAATAAAATATTATTTATAAAAAACAAGCAAAAAACAACAATAACAACCTGTGAGCCTTTGGGCAAATCACCCAACTTCCCTGGGCCCCAGGGTAAGCTTCTGCAGAAGAAGACCAGATGGCCATGGAAATTCTTACTTAGCTCTGGGCCTAGGATCAGTGAAGTTTCAAGTTTGATAGGACGTTTTTTATTAATAAATGAAACACAGGCAGGTAGTCAAAACAATTCCAGAAGAAAAACATTAACAATAGCCTCAAGCTATGAAGCACCCTGGAGAAGAGATATAAGCATTCTATACCTTTATTATCTCCTTATTTCTCAGAAGTACAGAAGGAGGAGAGACAGTAAGGATAAGCCCAACTTTCTAGACAGAGAAACTGAGGCAGTGGCAGATATGGGAACAAAATTGAGGCTTGTCTCATTCTTAGCAGATTGAAGAAGTCAACTCCCAGTTAGCTGTGCTAAGGTAGGAGAGGTCAGTAAATCTTCAGAGCTCCTTCACACACTGACTGACATGCCATCAGGCTGACACGCCCCAGATTCTTTGCACACTCCTAAAGCATCTGAAACATGCTAATTGGCACACATGAAGTAGGCGGCCCTGGCACACTTGACTCATTGCTAATGCCAAGCAGGCAATGCCAGAAGCCAAAGAGCCAACACCATCTCCCGGCCCATATGCCCAAGGTCAGATACTTCTCCCTTTTATAGCCATGAGTTTAATGTGACAGTAGTGACTGGAGCCTCTGGAATGTCTGTCTGACTGATGAGCAGGAGCCCTGCTGGCTGGACACTAGGTGCTGTGTTAAAAACAAAATCAAAAGCAATGTCCAACACCCATACTGCTCTTAATCCAGGCTAATTGAGAGCACATTCTGGGGTCTGGTGGGCTCTGCTCTTCCTGCCAGCCCCTCCCACAGAGAAAGTTCAATGCTATCTGATAAGACAAACACTTGGAAGACCCCATCCCTGGAGGCACGGTCCAAAAAAAGCCTTGGTCAAATCCATAGTAGTTTATGACAATAAGCTGGGCCCAGAAGTAAATAACTTAACAACAGGCTGGATAATTCTTGGCAAATCACAGAGTGTTTTCAGTAACTTCTTTTCTGCCACAAGACCTCATCCTTTAAAGACCAACACTCCCCTGGGATGCTACATAGCTATGAATCACGAAAAAAGAAGATTTAAGAATCAAAACTTGGGGTGATCCAAAGGACAAGAAAAAACCAGAGTGGACATGAGTTGGCTTTAGCATACACCCAACAACTCACATGCACAAAGAGGCTTTTACAAGAGACATCCTCTGATTGGGGAGAGGACTTTCAAGTCTGAGAATCCTTTCCAAACACTGTCTTATTTGAGTTTCTTAGTAACCCTGTGAAGTAGGTGCTATTGATAGTATTGTGCCCATTTTACAGATGAGGAAACTGAAGCTCAGAGAGACATGCCTTTCTCAAGGTAACATATCTAATAAGGGTCAGAGGTGAGATTTGAACCCAAGGTTTTCCTGACTCGCATGCTCAGGACTCATGCTGGCTGGGTAACCACGGGAAGCACTTTTATAACTTCTCGTGCTCAGTAGCCTGAGCAACTCTTAAGACTATAAGATACAGGGGCAGCTAGGTGGCGCAGTGAATAGAACACCGGCCCTGAAGTCAGGAGGACCTGAGTTCAAATCCGGCCTCAGACCAAACACTTGACATGTACTAGCTGTGTGATCTTGGGCAAGTCACTCAACCCCGATTGCCTCACTACAAAAAAAAAAAGGTACAAAGGAGTGGCCTCTTCGAACTAGTGGAAGGACTCCCCCCCCACCGGGAAGTTTCTTACACCAATGAGGCCTGGACAAAACCAGACCAGTCATGGAGTCAGAGTGTAGAGAGCCTGGAGGCTACCCAGAATTCACAAGAAATCAGAATAATGACAGCAAGGCTACGCGCCCCACAGGTGACATTGGGATCCCCTGCCAACATCTGGGCGACAGCCTAGAGCACTGGCTGAGAGCAAAAGGGAGCTCAGAGGTCACCCATCTGGCCCCGCCTTCCTCTCTTTAGAGATGAAAGGTCACAGAGGTTGTAAACAGCAGGGGGCCTGGACTCTAGTCCTCTGGTTCTAAATTTAGCCCTTGTTCGACTCCATCATCCAATGGAATCATAGAATGGCAAGGCTGAAAACAACCTGGGAGATCCTCTGAGCATTGCCATTATGCCTCAGCTGCCTTTCCTCACACATTCCCCTGCCCCTTCTCCCACTACTGAGTTCTTCCTGGGCCAGCCCGTCTTCATTCCCCATCCTGGTTTGCTTCCACTTTTGTCTCCATCTCCCCCAAACAAAAACCCCCTGTTTTCCACTCCCTTTTGAATGTTGTCTTTCCTTGTTAGAATGTAAGCTCCCTGAGGGCAGGCAGTGTCTTTATGCTTCACTGTATATCTCCAGGTGCTTAGCTTAGCCTGGCACATAGTATATACTTGATAAATGCTTGCTGCCTGCCAGCCAGCCTTCTCATTTCACAGGAAAGGCAGTTAAGACAGATTTTTGAGACTTTACAAAGTGAGACCATGCTAACGAGGGAAAACACACAATCTATTCAGAGAAACAGAAGTGTGTTTAAAACTTCCTATTGTGTCTGGGCCTGGCTTCAAATCTGAGCTGTTATCACCTGTGACCCCGATTAGGTAAGGCCACCTGTGTAAGAGAGGTTAGGTTCTGGAATCTCCAGGGTCCTGTCCAGCTCAAGTCGATGATCCTGATTAACAGCTGCTACAGCAGAGGCAGGGAGACTGAGGTGTGGGGAGATAAGCCCAAAAGCAGTAATTGTCCAGGTTGGAATCTGCAGCCGGCAGACCCAGAGGAAGCTACTCCCTCTCCCCATAAGCCTGGGACCAGAAACTGTCCCCAAATTAGAAGCTAGCCTATAAGATGAAGCGCAGTCGTTGGCCAGGCTTAACACTGGATCTGGACTCAGATGACCTGGGTCCGAATTCCAGGTTATCCATTTACCACCTGTGTGGCCTTGGGTGAGTCTCTGGCCTTCATCTGCCAAATGAAGGGGCTGGGCTAGGTCCCTACCAGGTCTTAATCCTAAAATCCTGGTGGTCCGGGTCAAGGTTTCCTTAAGAATCTAAATCCCAGCCAGGGGGATGGGAGGCAGTGACCGAAACAGCATCCTCCACCCTCACCAAGCTCTCAGGAACCTTCTTAATTCTGACCGTAAGCGTGGGGATGAATCCACGAGACAATGGCACCAAACATCCCGTGGGGCCTAAATAAAATGCTCAGAACACTATCATTACACCTGGCTGCGTCAGAGACAACTTACCCTCTAGAAAGGTGGCGCTCTCCTGAATATACGCCCCCAGCTGTTCAAAAATGCCATTGATCTTCTTCTTGGCGGTGACAAAGTGCTTGAGTGGAGACGCATTCACCTCAGCCATGTGTCTTTTGTCCTTCTTGATTGAAACGATGGGGTTGGAGTGAGAGAAGATCAGGGACATTGCGCTGCGGAGAAAAGCACAGTCGGTGAGGCCGACAACGCCACACGTCCCCGTGCTCCTGGAAGAGGCCTCAGGGCCCATCCAGTCCAACCCCCTCCTTTTATAGACGGGATCCTGGAACCCAAGATGTGAAGTGAATTGTGCGATTGTGCCAAGGTCCCCCAAGTGGCAAGTGGTAACAGGATTTGAACCCACATTCTAGGACTGCCAAGTTCACTCCTCTTTCCACTGTACCACACGGTGCTCTACATCAAATACCTTCAGGTAGGTTGTTTTTTTTTTCCTGGATTGGAGGAAGGAGACCTAAATAACTACTTCCAGAGGCTAGACTCCTCTTTCATCCTTTCCCATAAAACAGAGAGTAAAATTAGCCTCCAATTGCTTGATCTTAGCCATCATTCAGATGATGCAGAACTCTGAAAGGAACCTGGGAAAGGTAAGGTCAAGAGGATCAGAGCTGAGACCTGAGGAAAGGACCATGGAGATGACCACATCTCCCACTGGAGACCTGAAATCAATGTGGAAGGACCCTCAGCCTCCTGACTCAGCCGTCAGAATCTCGTGGGGGGCATTCTGAGCAAATCATAAACTCCCTAAGCTTCCAGGAGAGGCTCCGTCAAATGAGAAAGAGAATAGAGCTGCCTTCTCTAATCTGCACGGAGGCGATTTGGTATAAAACCACTAACGAAAGCCTGACCTCTGGACAGGGCTGCATTCCTGGCAGCCCGGTGAAGGATGTGATGTGGCAACTGAAAAACCCAGTTTGATTCCTGATTGCCTTAAAAGAAATCTAGGACCTAGAATGAGAGAGCAGTCAATCACACTGCATTCTGAACCCTGGTCAGACCCTGTCTGAAATACTTGGGGAATGCCAGTTCTTAACATGTGACAGTGACCACCTGGAAACCAACCAGAGCAACAATATGGATGATGAGAAGAGTCAAAAGCATGCTGGGCGAAGATTAACTGAAGGAAACAAGAGTGATTAGCCTAAAAAGACTTATGGGACAGTAAATTCCTATGTTTTAATGTTGAAAGGGGTCATCGTGAGGAAACAGAAGCAGACTTGCTTCCTTGGCCCCAGAGGACAGAACCAAGGCCAATGGATGGAAGTGATAGGGAGGTGGACTTCAGTTGGACAGAAAGAAAGCTTCCTAACATCTGGAGCCATCCAAAAGAGGCAGAGCTGCCTCAGGAGATGGATTTGCCCATCACTGGAGCGCTTTGTGCAGGCTGGAGGACCCCGAGCTGGGCACATGGTGTGGGGACTCCAGACACAGGTATGGGCGGGGCCAGGTGACCGTTGAGGCCTGATCCAGCTCTAAGATTCTATGGCACTGTAGTCAAGGAACTGCTGGTCATCTACGGCCAACGTGCTAAGCGAGCACTCCACCCCAGCACAATCCAACTCCAAATCTACCTTTGCCAAACTCTCAACAGATGCTGCCTGAATTCACAATTTCATCTCCACACTTCTACATAGGCTGCCCCCAATGACTGGAACATCTTTTCTCTCATCTTTTCATCCTAAGAATTCCCAGTCCTCCCCAAGGTTCATTTGGGCATCATCCTTTCCTAATCTCTCAGTTTTCAGCACTTTTTCCACCTTCAAGCTGCCTTGTATTTACTTGTCCATGCTGTACTCCCCCAGAATAATGAAGCTGCTGAAAGTCGGAACTCTCCGATTTGCCCATTTCCCTGACATCTAAGCAATGTTATGAACGTGGCAGAGGGCAATGATTGTCTACTGAACTGAATCTCTTTCTGAAAGCACTATTATGGTTCAGCTTTGGCCTGAGAAGTTATGGAAAAAGAAAAGACAGATCAGATACCATGGCAAAAACCCCCAAGGCCCAATCAGAACTCAGAATAGGGGGTGAGGGGGATAGGACCTGTCAATAACCATTGCAAACATCTTCAGACAGCATACCCAATTTACCTTTGATACCTAGCAGGTAAAGGCCCCTCTTGCCAAGGTCCCCCTGCCTCTGCCAGCTGTTCCACTTCCCCATTCCTGCTCTCAATCTTGCAAGGGATAGGGAAATACAAAATGAAGCCACGCCCAAGGGGATGGGGGGCAGTGACTGTAGTATGGACAGCATCAGAGCTGCTCACTAGCATCTGTAAAAAACTCTCTCAGAGGTGGAAAGAACATCTAGGAAGAGTAGATGACAAGAGACTGCCAAAATCAATTTGAAGGAACAGATTGAAAGAGTGATGCTGAGTGAAGAGATGAGGAAAAGCCTCAAGTGAGGTAAGGAGGAAGGCAGCAGATTGGACTCCTGGAGGAGACATGATTGATCCCACTTCACTTACCACTACTGTTTCTTTCTTAGGGGTCTCCTAGGGCTATGGAGCTACTTTCTTTTCCTTGGAAGTTACCCAGGGGTGGCTGAACAAGGAGAAAACCAGCTACATGCTGAAGAGAGAAAACTGGAAACAAAATGAGGCCACACTCTTCCACTTCATGGGGGCCAAAGGTCTGCTGTGTGATCAGACTCCAGGATGAAGTCCTTAGCCCATAGCAACTGTACTCACAGCTGTGTAAGGGCTGGGCAGACTATACCCACACTGCAGGAAAAACCAAGCAAACAGGGCAAAAAGCCACACAACTGAGGCAGAAAACAGGCACACATAAAGGACACTAGAGGGTTCTGCCTTCCCAAGTTTACTTACTACCCAAATTCCAGAGTATCAAAACATATTTCCTTCCCCATCTCCATCAACCCAGTACTTGGCCTTGAGGTAAATCCCTGAAGTCAGAGTCTTCTAATAAGACAACTTTCCCTATAGGAACTAAATACTTATTTGCCCAGAAGACAAACTACTTTTGGAAGTGGGTTACCTGAAAACTAGTCGGCATTTGTAATGAGGTGCTTTTTAGTGATTTGGTGATCATTTGTGAGACTTAAGGGCTTGAAACCAGAAGCATTAGCATATGGCAAGTGAAAACTAAAAGGCAGATGAGTTACCCAAGGAAATGAAATGAAAGCAGCTCAGTGAAAATGTAAAATTCTTAGATGTAAAGGGAGTGAGAAAAAACTTACAACTCCTTAGAGTTTTCCTTCCTCAGTAGGGAATGTCCTCACAATGCTCCTAGTTGCTGCACTCAATTGGTCCTGGAAACACCTGGGATAGGAAGTGTCTCCCGGCTCCCTCGGCTATCCTAGCCAACCCAATCAAGCCCTTGATCTGCCACAAATTAATTCTCCTTAATCAGGAGAAATATTAACTTCCTCAACTCCCCAATTTCCACGAAATCTAACTCGCTCCATTTTATTCAGCTGCTTGCCCTCTGAGATTTGTAGCTGGGTCAAAAAAACACTTGTTAAGCACCTACTATGTTCCAATCACAGTACTAAGGGCTGGAGATATAAATAAGAAAAAGACAGTCTCTGCCCTCCGGGGGCTTAACAATATAAGGGGGTGGGGTGGTGTTATTACACAAAAGGAAATTATAGTCAGAGTAATAGCCTAGTAAGCTTATCATCCTTGGCAGATATGTCCCGTTTTCTTAAGTTAACAATGAACTTAGCCTAACCTGAATGCATCACCTAACATTTGGGGCTCAGGATCTCAAGCATGAATTTATTCCACAAAAGGAAGCCAAGAATGTGGCAGAATAAACAAAAGTACCCAAAGCTTCCCTTCCCTAGCTCTGGAATTCCTCACTCTGGCTTCCTCCCACACTACCCCTGCAACTCTTCTGGAAGGGCCTGAGAGCTTCCCACTTCCAGGAAGGCTTCAGGCAAGCAGGGCCCTTCCCCTGGGCACATAGCAGATAACAGTCTTATAATTTCAGAAGGCAGAGAACACCTGGGTGCCATAGATAATATGCTGAGTTTGGAGTCAGAAAGACCTGAATTTAAATTCCGCCACTGAAACTTAACCATGCAGTCCTGGGCAAATCATTTCATGTCTATGTGCATCAGGCCACTCTCTACAGAATATCTACTAAATCACATGGGTCAGATCTGTTCATAACGCTAAGGAATTCCTTAGTATTGTAGTACTGTAGACCAAGGGCTGTCACATGGCTTAGATGATAAAGTTCTGCTAAAGTTGGAAACCCTGATTCATGGCCATTTCAACTTCACTTTAAGAAGGCTTTATCAGAACTGTCAAGGTCTTGCTATGTCTGAGCCCAAAAACAAACCCAATTCTATGTTTCAATTACCATTAGCATGATCTACTCCCAGGTAATCATCAGGCTAGCTCATACCTGAGTTTAATTGAGGTCAGTTAGGTATCTGGGGATGTAGGAGTGAGGATGAAGGAAAAACCTCTCATGTGGCTTTGGGTATGAAATGCAATGCCTGAATTCACACCATTTTCTTACCCAATTTTATGCAGAGCAACTTCTAGCAGGAAAAGAGAAAAAAAGGATCCACAGGACCGTCCACCAATGTAACTGATACAGAGAAGGAGAAGCTGAGAAATTAAAATGGAAAAAAAAAAATGAAAAGAATGGAGATGAAGGAGAGATTTTTCCAGCCAAAGTTAGAAATGAACAATATGGAGACGATGAAGAATCACAATGCTGGAGAGAACAGAGAGACCAGGAAAGAGAGATTTGCCAGAGTATTTATTTTCAATTCCAATACTTACTTTCCTTGTTTCACAACATATCAAATCAGTTCCATTTGGTTGGAGTGAAATAACATTCGGTGGGTGCCCCAAATAGCAGAACTAGCTCACAGGACAAAAGGTTTGACCCAACTTGGTTTTCTCTCATAAAGACAGAAAGGATTCCAGTGTGAAATCATGCTATGCCAAGACTCAATTCAAGGGGTGCCTCACTGGATCTGTGACATTCTCCTAATCTCATTTACTTCCAGCCCAGGATTGCACGTGCAGCCTCGGCTGCTCCCCGACAGCTTAAGGCAGGACAGGCCCCGAGAAACCAAGACTTACTTTTCGAGAGGTGGATTGTTTTCACAAGGCTGACATCATGAACTCTGCTGGCCTGGAAAAGAAGGGAAGGATCCGGGCATTTCTCACTTTCACAGGCCACTGCGATGAATCCACCCAGTCCCCAGAACTGTCAGAAAGAAAGGTGGAGCAGTTACCAGGAGGCTTGGACCGGGATCAGGCCCCTCTAATCAGATTAGGACTCCAAACAAAAACCACCTCTGGGCTCAGATAGGCCTCTTGCAAGGACATATGCCAGCAAGTTGGGGCGGAGAGCAAGGGCAGGTACTGACTGGAGGAACTCACTAACCCTGGGGCATCACAACACACCTGGGCTGGGCACATGTGCATGCCATGTGCCCAAGAAAAAACACAGGAGGGAGGCTGGAATGGGGGGGGGAGTTGGCATGGGGGGGGGGGGGCTGGGAGGGGGGAGGGGGGCCTGGTATGGAGGGGAGGGGGCCTGACACAAAGGAAGGGCACGGATACGGAGGGAAGGAGACCTGGCATGGGAGGGTGACCTGGTATGGAGGGAAGGGGTGGCCTGTCACGGAGGAGGGGCACTGATACGGAGGGGAGGGGGGCCTGGCACGGGGGCGGGAGGGGTCGCATGCAGGGGAGGGTGGGGAGGGTCCAGCATTGGGGAAGCCGCAGGGGAGGAAGGGGCGCGGGCCGAGAACGCGGGCCTGGCTGGGGCTGGGGGATGCGAGTGGAGGCCTGGGGGTTCAGCGCCGGCCAGGCCCCTCGGCCTTCCCCGGCAGCGCTGCCGCCGCCCGCGCTCACTCACCTTCACCTTCTCGGAGCCGCCGCCGCCGCCATGATGCGCCGTGACATCATCAGGCCGCGTCAGGCCGTGGAGGGGAGGGGCGCGTCGCCCGCTCCCCACACCTACCGCACACGCCCCGACTTCCCGCTTCGGAGCCGGCCGCCGGAGCTAACTGGAAGATCTCCACGAGCTCCGAGAGGGTGCAGAGTGCCCCCAGCGCTTGCGGGGCGCAGCCTCTCGTTCAGGCCCTGCGGCTCCGCTGGGCGCTGGCCGTGACGTCACTAGGCGTGGCCCGCCGTGCACTCTGGGAGTCGTAGTTCTGAAGGAGTAGGGAGTCCCTCTTCGAGGGGCGGGGCTCGGGGTCCGCAGGGATTGTCAAGGGCGAGGCAGTCCTGGAAGGGAACCAGGCCTAGCCTGACCAGGCAGGGCTTCCGGGCCCCACCGCTCTTGGGCACCCACCCTGGAAGGGGGAAGCTTAGGTGCAAATAATCACGCATTTATTAAGTGTGCAACGCGGAGTTTATGCAAATATGCACAGTTGTGATGGGGATGGTATCTGAGCCCGTAAATAGCAAAGACCATGTCTTTGGGCTCTGGATCCTAAAAAGGAAAAGCCCTGAATTCTCCCACACTTTCCAAGGCATCTGGCCCACCCCAGCCCACCTTAATTAGCTTACTTGACACTCCTTAATCCCATCTAGACCCCTTTCTCTTTTTCCTCTGGACCACCCCAGGTTACTTGCCTCTCCTAGATCCCATCCAGATCTACCCACCGTCTTTCTGTATAAAAATATCCATTTTATCCTCATCAAATACGCAGATTCTTAAAATCTGGCTCCATTATGTTGGCTTCACAAAGTCAGCAGACTCGCTAGGAGTCTGTCCCGTTTCTTTTGGTGTTAACAGTAAATTTGCTACTTGACTGAAAGAAGGCTTGAGTGGTCAAATTCTTTGGAGGCAGACTCCCACCTTGTACCCTTGGATTTTGGGGTTCCCAGCACCCCTAGACCACAACAGTTGGAGGTCCCAAGTTCAAATCCTGACTCTGTACCTGACCACCGACCTGAGTGACTTTGTCCACTGGACCTCAGATCTATCAGTTGTAAAATGAGGATATTTGTGCAAAGTACCTATTGGTTGGTACTTGCTACAAATATCATACAGAGATAGATATAGAGATACATATACATATATAAAAAATAATGTATACTACATAGTATAGTTTATAATGTATAGTATATGACAGTATATATTATATTGTTCAGTTGTATCCAACTTTTTGTGACCTCATTTAGGGGGTTCCAGGACCCCCTCTCCCATGCCACCCCCCCCATTCCAGCTCCCTCCTGCGTTCTTTCTTGGGCACATGGCATGCACATGGTTTGCCATTTTTGTCTCCAGCTCATTTTACAGATAAGGAACTGAGGCAAACATGGCAAAGTGACTTGCCCAGGGTCACACAGCTAATATGTGTCTGACGCTGGATTTGAACTCAGAAGATGAGTCTTCCTGACTCAGGTCTGGTGCTCTATGCACTATGACACCACCTAGCCCCCCTATAGCATATAACATTATATTTACTATATATATTATCTGTACACTTAATAGTTGGGTTATCATGATCAAATAAGATCATAGGCACGAAGCTCTCTGCAGACCGTAGGGTGCTTTAGAAATGTTGCTTATTTTTTATCTGGGCAACTATAGTCTTCACATGGTGGAAAGTACCCTGGGTTTAGAATGGGAAACCTGGTTCTGCTACTTACTAGCTGTGTGGCCTGAGAAAAGAAGGTCTGCCTTCCTGAGCCTCAGTTTCTTTGTCTGTAAAAAGAGTTTCCCTTGAAGTTCTATGCCCTGTAATTCCATAGAAGAGAATGTCAGTTGGTGATGCTTTTGAAAGAGGTGGTGGACTACAGTTATAGAATGAGGCACGCATTTTCAGACACAGCCAATGAGTTGATTTTGTTTTGTTTGACTTCCTTGTTATGAGGGAGGTTTCTAGGTCAGAAGGGTGAGTCACTGGAAAGTAACAGGGATGTACAATTTAAGAGTATCAACAAACCTTTTTAAAATGAAGATGACAAGTTGGCTACTGCAGCTTGATGGAAATAACTCATTCCCCGTGTTCTATAATCCTATGCTGACCGAGCAACTTTCTGACCTCTGATCTGGTCTCCTGCCTTTTGCTGTTATCTTGCTAGACATAGCTTCCACTATAAATTCATAGCCTGCATTCTGGGTTAGACAGAAATCAGGACCTTGTGAGTTTGCTCAGTATGAATCAGCTCCCCTGAGCTTGCTCCACCTGTGAGTAGAATAAAAAAGCAGACTTTACAGAACTGAGGATGATGACCCCATGGTCTCAGGTGACCAGCCTAAATAGCCAGCTGATCACCCAGTCTCGCCCCCAAACTCTCTTTCATTTCAAAAGGGATTCAAAAAACCATCTGATTCAGGCTCTAGCCTTCAGGCAGATCAGAAATTATTATCCCCATTCTGCAGATGAAATTATTAAATACCAAAGAGGTTAAGTCATTTCCCAAAGGTTACACAGCTAAATACTGATAGAGCTTATTAGACACTATTTCTCAAGCTCCGCATCAAAGAGAGAGAATTTCCTGCTCACCTGTCGTTTACCAGCAGAAGGCGAGACCTGGTGGAAGGAGTTCCCAGGCTGTGAGATGCCTGGGAGCAGGAGGAATACCAATTCCCATCATCCCTCTCTTTCCCCTCCCCTAAAAAGATGGTGAGGGAGTTGGGGAGCGAGGTGCTTTCTATTTCTACATATAATAACTATGAGCACTGATTTTGAGTACTTGGAGGGCCATCATGGGGAAACCGGATTTGCTTTGTTTTGCTTGGCCCATAAGGCAGAAGCAGGAACAATGCGTGGAAATTACAGAGAGGCAGATTTGCTTTGATGTTGGGAAAAATGTCCTAATCATCCAAGCTATCCGGAAGCGCCGTGGACCGCCTCAGAAGGGCCTCAGTGGAGGGCTGGAACAAAGACTGCTTGTCAGGGATGTGGAGAAGGGATTCTTGGTCAGGGCCCCTGAGGTTCCTTCCCACCTTGAGATCTTGGATTCCCTCCCCAGCATCCAGCATGGTGCTAGGCACCGAGTCACACAGCATAGGTCATATCATAGTTCTATAGCCAGAAGGGGCCCCAGGGACCATCTGGTCCAATTCCCTCATTTTACAAGTGAGGAAACTGAGTTACAGGGAAGATATGTGATATCACATCATTAGGGCTAAAGCTGGAAGGAACCTCAGAGTGCAGGGCCTAGAGTTAGGAAGACTTGAGTTCAAATCCAGCCTCAGACACATATTAGCTGTGTCACCCTGGGCAAGTCACTTTGCCTCTGCTTGTCTCATTTTCCTCCACTTTAAAATGGGGATAATAACAGCGCCTACCTCCAGTGGTTGTTGTGAGGATCAAATGAAGAATATTCATGAAGTGCGTAGCACCCGTGCCTGTCACATAGTAGCACACCACAGAAATGCTATTGTTATTATATTTTACAGATGGGGAACCTGAGGCCCAGGGCAGTGACGTGATTTACAGCATCACAAAACAAAAGGACTTTCTAGTCCACCTCCACCCCCAGCTTTCCAGACAAGTAATTGCCTCAGTATTGGCTGAATTTAATTATTCAGTCAACGCAATAGCATCCAGTCACTGACTTTAGTGCCAAGGATTGTTCTGGGGATGGCTGCGTTCCCTGAGGTCAACCTCGTGGGATGAAAGACTTCCTCTGAAGGTCCCTAACTCCCCAGCGTAGCAACCACTGCTTCTTTAACTGCCTAGCTGAGGCCCTTTATTTTATTTATTTATTTATTTTGGCTAGGCAATGGGGTTAAGTGACTTGCTCAGGGTCACACAGCTAGTAAGTGTCAAGTGTCTGGTCTGAGGCCAGATTTGAACTCAGGTCCTCCTGACTCCAGGGCTGGTATTCTATCCACTGCACCACTTAGCTGTCCCGCTGAGGCCCTTTAAAAGGTACACCCCCAAAACACACATATACATATATACTCTCAGAAGATCTCATTATTGGTTGTTTTGTTAAGTTTTAATGTTAAAAACTCTTATTTCGAACTGTCCATGTGGGCCAAAGAGCCAGCCAGTGAATGAATGAATGAAAATGCAGCCGCAGCCGTGTGTGTGTGTGTGTGTGTGTGTGTGTGTGTGTGTGTGTGTGTGTG